TTTGGTTAGTTTGGGGGGGGGGGGGCACGAGTTGAGATGGGATGTCAACATTTGTAAGAACAAATGGAGCGTCTGTCATGTGTGGACTACGGCGGGCACTAGACACTGCTGGGGATCGGAAGGAGGTCGGACCGAAACGAACATAGGCTTTTTACTTTTCGAGAAAGCGCGAGAATTGTTCCCTTCAGTTTAGTCGATACCCTACTTCGGCACCGTCTAGTTGTAGTTCTTAGAAGCACAGGCCAAACGTCGTTGACGCGCGGTTGTGTTGGCCCAACGTACACGTTCTGACTGGTAGGCCCAGAACCTGGAATGCATCCTCTGTTACTGTTTATTTTTACCGTTCATGTGTGTGTTCAACGAACGCTTTTCGTTTTTTTTGCGCTTCGTTCCTTCTCTCTCTCCCGCTGTCCCTGCGTTCCTTTTCTCTCGCGGATGAAGCGGGAGGTTAGCTGTCCTGGTGTGGGTCGATGTGATTGGGTTCGATTCGCGCGTAGTAGGTGGATGCCGCCATCGATGAACTCGTGCGTGCCCTTTTCTTTTTTCGTTTTGGTCAGGTACGCCGACCTCAAGGTGAAGATGGCTACGATGGAGGCCGAGAAGGACGGCGCTGCGGACCTGGTGGACGAATGGCAGTGAGTCACGTCGCTGTTGCTGTCGCTTCCTTGGCATCAGCAATCATTCTGACTGTTGTGGCTGTTGTGGTGGCTGTTGTCGCCTCAAGATCAACAATCGTTCTGACCATTGTTGTTGTTGTTGTTGTTGTTGTTTTATCTGATGGTTTTCGGTTTTTGTTGCGGTTTTCGTAAACCCGACCCGCCTCCTCCTAAAACCTCTTTCATGATGGAAACGTCCTTGTGGTGTCTCCATCTTGTATTTGGTACCGGTTTCTTGGACGGAACAACGGTGCTGCTGCAGTTCGCCTTGTCCTCGTCTCCTTTTCACGGCTGTGCGCCCTTGCGCTTACTCCTGGCTTGAACTCAACCGACACCTGTCCGCCCGCTTTTCTGGTGGAAACGCGTTCACCTGGCGTTGTATTTGGTGCTTGCTGTTGGTTGGTTGCTGCTGCTGCCGCCGCCCCCGCTGCTGTTGGAAGCATGCGTTTTTGTGTAAAGCTATTGTTCTTGGTTGTGTGCTCGTATGTGGTTGTTCGCAGATCGAACTCAAAGGGCGAGAGAGGGGAGGGGGGGCGCAAGGTTTCCGAGGCCGCGAAGCGCGCCCTAAGGGAGAACACCGAGCTGCACGGACGAGTGGCAGCCATGACAGAGTCCCTGCAGGTACGACAACCGTTGCCTTGGTCGCGGATGCAAGGGAGAGTGTCGTTGTTGTTGTTGTTATTGTTTTTTTTGTTGCAGTAGAAACGGTGGTTGTGGTGATGGTCGTGGTGTTGGTGGTGATGGCGCTATAGTTGTGAATTTGATTTTGGACTGTCTAGTGTCAGCGGATTCTTCTCGGAAGCGAATTCTTGACTAATAGTAGGTGTGGGTTGTTGCTGTCGTTGCAGCCTTGTTTCAGTGTCTTGAAGCGAGCGGTGCTGCGGGATTTGATCCTGCTGCGCTCCCCCCCGCTTGAGCCAGCTCGCGCTCCTACTCCTTGTGCGACGTTTCTTTCCCGCGATCCATTCGTCTCTGTTTCTGTTTCTGTTTGGTCAGATGAGAGCACATCAGCTGGAGGGGCAGAGGCAGTCCAACGAGTTCCTGCTCAAGCGGGTTGAGGAGCTGGAACAGCAGGTTGCCACCACCAGCGGGAAGACTGCCATCGGGACGGATTGAGCGATTGATTGATGCTGTCGATTGGTCGAGACGGATGGATTGATTCTATTGGTCGGTCGAGACGGATAGGTTGATTTCTGTCGGTTGGTCGGGGTCGAGCTGAAGTTGGCCGACGTTTTTCGCCCGATGGTACGTCCGCTCGGTTAGTTTTTTGGTCGGTCGAGCTTGGGGGTGGTTCGTGATTTCGTTGATGAACCCCGCGAGTGCGTGTGCGCATGCATGATTTTGCCCGCTGTTTTTCTGTGTTCGTTCTTGTTTGCACTTATTTGGTGTTGCTGCTTTGCGGTTATGATGTGTTTCCTTTTACGTGGTTTTCACGTGGTTTTGTAAGGTGTTAAGATACGGTTTTGTAAAGGTGTTAACATATGGCTGATTTTTTTCTTGGTCCGCTTAGCCCCGCCTTCGCACGGTATGTTAAGCCTGGCGTTTCCCACCTGGCCCGGGTTCTTTGGGATGCACGCAGGACACGTACACGTAGTTTTTGTGTCGATGCGTGGTTGTTTTTGTCGAGTTGAGTTGGCAGGGTGTGGAGGAGGTATTTCAGGTCTATTCGAAACGGACGGGGCGGTTTTTCAATCGCCAGCTCGGCTTGCGGTTTTCTCCTGCTGTTTTTCGCAAGACGGCTTTCGGGGGTGGCGCTGTATCCGCCCGCCATGTACCCCCCCCCTCCCCCCTCCCCCCCCCGGTGTATGTATTTACCGCGTCCGATAGTTGGTGTGTAGGGTAGGCAGGAATATCTTCCTGAAGAAAGAAGGAATCAGAACCGGTATTTTCTTCCGTGTTTTTTGGGCCTGTGCCCTGTTGTTGTCGACGTGTGGGCGCAATGTGGACTGACGGTTGTTGTAATTTCGTTTTGATTCTTTTTCTGGACAAAACACTACGAGATCAAAGCAGTACAAACGGCGGGCTAGACCATATTTCATGAACACGCACAGACCCCACCACGTCTAGTTTATGGAAGGGGAACACCGACAAAAGCGTTACCTATCAACCACACAAGAACAACCCCCCCCAAGAGGCATCGAAACAAGCGCTGCTGCACGTCCACACATCGGCAGACTACCCGACCGCGAACAGAGAGCAGGCACAAGTCTCTTGCCAATCAATCACCACGTCTTTCAGCTTGCCACCCTCTCTTATTGCTGGCGCATCTCGGCATCTTGGACCGCGCTCTCGATCCCAACCTTGCTGGCGATTTATTTCCCTCAACCCCCTAGTTTCGCAACTAGCACCCACGGGCCGGCGTAATTTTCCAAGCTGCGTGGTGATTTACACGAGTCAACCTCTCTCGTCTGCCACGCACTCACCGGTTCTGTTGGTCCGGCAATGGGAGCCCGCAGCTTGCACTGCTACTGTGACGAACGTCCGCAACTCTCTGCCGCTGCTTGTTGTTTGCCCGCAGAACAAACAAAAGCACGTCTCTCTTGTCCTTCTAACCTCTCCTAGGCGTTACTGGTCGTGTGCCACCAAAAAAAAGAAAGAAATGAGAACGACGACAACCTACGCTCCTCCCGCTTCTCGCTCCCTCTTGTCCTTCTGCCTCTCCTCGACGTCCCTGCCCACCGCCGTGATGTCCTCCGACATGTCGGACAGCTTGGACCGCAGCACGGGGTCAACCCCGCTGCCGAGCGCGACGACATCCTCGAGAGTCTTCGACACTAGGGCGCCGAACGCGGCGATCTCCTTGGGCGATTTATCTCTGAGGACTGGGGGGGGAGAGCAGGGTTTCAGATGCGTAGCAGCAGCAGCAGCAGCAGCAGCAGCAGCACGAGGCGGGAAGGTCGGCGTCTTGTTGTTGCTCGCTTTTGAGCAGAAAAAGGCGGACATGTAGGGAGGTCCGGCTGAGGTTGGTTAATGGGGAGGATCGCCGTTCGAGAAGGATAGGAAACCCCCCCCGAAGATATTTCGTCAAGAGTCGTTGGCCCAGCAGCAGTCGTTGAGTCACTCGCGTTTCTCTCGTACACCGAGCAAGGTACTGGGGGGGCAAGTACGGCAGACAGTGTCTAGGCAACGCATTACTTCCACAAGATTTGTCGCAAGCCAACAGGTCTGACCCATCCTCATTCCCAAAAGCAACTGCCCAATTCTCTTTCCCCCTACAACGGTTGGCAAGAAGGAGACGTCTTGTTCGTAGCGTGGGGGGCTTGCGAATAGACCGCTTTTGGTCTCTCACCGGTCCGCAGCGCCGCCCGCATCATGAACCGGTCGTCGTAGCTCAGCATCCGCGTCAGCACCGCCACGTCCTCGCCCATCATCAGGTCCAGCTGCGCGCACACCCTCGTCCGCACTATCCTGATCACGTTCAGGACCTCGTTGCCGTCGCCGCCCATCGGCATGTCATCCTTCTCCGCGGGCACTTTCCTCTTCTTCTTCTTCTCCGCCATGTCTTTCTCCACCTTTTCCAGTCTCTCCACCTCGCCGTCCAAGTACTTGACGAACTTTTTATATTGTTGCATTCGTTTTGTTTCGCGAAAGCAAACGTGTGCAAAGGGGGGGGGGGGCGTTGCGTGTTGCTTGCTTCGAGTATTTCGGACCGCCAAGAAAACGCATCAGGGGAGAGGGGGGAAGCACTGGTCTTGTGCATGTGCATGACTCCCACGCTTGCTCAAGGCCGCTCTTTACATGACTGCCACGTTTCACAGGAACACATTTGTGTACACCCGATCCGATGAGAAGCTGTTCCGAACCAGGGGTCAGGACCGAGTTTGGATGATTCCCTCGCCTTCAGATATCATCCTTACGTGCGCGTGCGCAGGGGGTGCGGTGGAAAATCTCCTACGCAAGCAGCAGGGCAATTTCGCATGCGCACGACGAACACAAGCAAGAACGGGTTAACACGAGCAAAACGTTTAACGGTGCGATTGCATTCGTCGTCACCTCGAACGTAAAGCGGTCCTGCAGGTTCTTCATTCTCTTGTCGAACACTTCGGGACTTGTCTTGGCCGCTTCGATTATCAACCTGACCAATGGTGGACAAACGTACAGAGAGACAAATATCGAGAGTGAGATTGAGAGAGAGACAGACAGACAGACAAGTCAGACAGGTGGAAAGAAAACCGCGCACGAACAACCGGTGAACGGGCACGATGGAAGCTGTGAGGAGGAGGTGTGGGCTCCTGCGTCCAGTAGCTGCGGACTGCATCCTCGGAAGCACGTTCGGTAGTGAGCGGCCCGTGAGCTCGGGCGTACAGTCCTTCGTGCCAAGAGTGGTCGAGACTTGGTTTTCGACAGAGATTACAAACGCGGTAGTCACCTGACGCGTGCGTGCTGGGGTAGACTGCGCTTATTCCCGCCTTATAATATCTACCCTAGTACAAGTAAGCACCTCGAACTTGTGCCGTGTTCCGGAGAGATTGAGGTCTCTTGCCTTGCAATAAAGCTGCACGAGTATTTGCGGGTGTGTTTCCTACGGGAAACACGAACACTTGGAAGCTGGTGAAATCAGGTATCTCCACTACACCCGTGAGTGTTCCCGAACTCCAATGTCTCCAAGAACGGGGCAACGGAAGGGTGTCCCGGGGTGCATGTAATCGTAGCGACTTCACCAGGGACATATATTGTGGTCCTGACGTACACTTGCAATGCAGCAGTCATCAATACATCTTTCCTTCCTGTGTCTCCATCCAGGCCAGATCTCACCTGAGCAACGTCTGGTTCTCCTTCTGCACGTCGACGGTGGACTCGACCATGCTCTCGAGGAACGACACGATGAACTCGTAGGCATTGCGGAGAGTGTTCACGCGGGTCAGCGTGGGCTCTTGCCTACGTACGCACGAAACACAATTTCAAGGTGTCCGCAGAAGCGAAAAATTACACGGCGTGGAGGAGGAAAGGGGTGAGGTGTGTATGTATCGCGTCCCCAAAACTGGAAATAAAAAACACACCCATACACATATATCCATTGTATTCTTCGCACTTCCACGCAAAATGCGAATGTTGATGTTGTATTGTAGGTTGGCTTACACCCATGGGAAAAATTCTATTGCATGAGGAGGTGTATTCATTGTAGCTTCAACCGTCCGGTGGACTTGCTTGCCTCCTTCTCTCTGCCGAGGACTGACCAGCACACGGGGCCGCAGGGGTCTGGGGGGAATTCAAGGATCAACCCCGCCATCGCTCCCACGGTCAACGGAGGCCGACAAAATCCAGGTTAAAGGTATGGAAAAGGAATGGCATCGGACCAAGTGTTGCGCCACATCACCACCGACCACCCATGAAAGGAACAAACACCATTGGCGCCAACGGCGGCAACAGCAGCAGCAGCAGCAGCAGCAACCGCAACAACCGCAGCAGCAACCGCAACAACCGCAACAACAACCGCAACAACCGCAACAACAGCACCACCACCACCACCACCACCACCATCACCGAGAAAACAACACCGCCATCATCACTGGAACGCGAGCGCAACAAACTCCTGGCAAAGCCTACATACCTTATGAGGTCGTTGGTCAGGGCGGTGACGTCCACCGACAGCAGGAAGTCGACGTGCCTGGAGAGGATGGCGGGGAGCTCCTCCTCCTTCTCCTCCTCCAGCACCTCCTCCATGATCCTCTCGAATCTCTGCCGGTCCCTGGTCGTCGGCTCCGGCAGCGGCGGCGTCGCTCCCCCCGCAGGCGATGGCGGCAACGGCGTTGAGTCGCGCGAGGAATCGCCCGAGGCATCGGAGGCGGCGTACTCCGTCGGCGCGATCAGGTCTACGAACGGATCTCCGACAAACCCCGCCCCTATCTCGCCGCCGACCTCCGAGGAGGGTGAGTCGACGTCGTCTACTGGGACGTGCTGTCTAGGCCGGCGTTTCGTTTTTCTCCGAACCGATTGCTTCGGTCGCTGCTGCTGTTGGCTCGGCCCTTCCGTTGCGTCTGGTGTGGTGGCGCTCAGTGGGGGTGGTGTTGTTGCGCGGGAGCATGTAGGCCGCTGTGAAAGGAGAGACAGAGAGAAAGGCCGGAGGTGCAAGGGGTGGTGGCAGCGAAAAACGATGTACAAGAGAGAGAGAGAAAGGAAGAGAAAGAGAAAGAGAGAAAGGGAGAGAGAGGGACGGAGAGGAACACAGCATGAAGCGTACGTGAATTTCACGAAACTGAAGAGCCGGCTGGATAGCAGCTAGGGATAAGCTGCAATGATTTGCTTTTCTGCGTATAGGGCCGTGCGGCTGCTGTTGTGTTGTTGTGTGGAGACCAAGCAATAGACAACACTTGAATGCAAAAGTCGGCCAATAGATGGGAACGGCTACTACCGTGGGAACCACAACCACATACGGTATGCGTGCTAACACCCCTCTCACGCACCTCCTTTCTACTGCATCTGCTGCGCGGTGATGGAAAAATCGCACTGCTTGATCTTCGCCGCTGCTGATGCGACGCAGGCCGCGGATCTAACCAAGCGGCGCTCGTTGTGGGTGTTATCAGGAACGACTCCATCGAAGGGAATCCCACCGCAGAGAGCACTAGCACAAGCAGGAGCTGTGACATCGTGTCCTTGTGAAGCAGACGTAAACCAGACAGGCGCGGAGCACGGAGGGCCAGGGTGCTGTGTTTGTGGGTTGACGCTTCAGGGGAGTTCCAGTTGTTGATGCCGAGCGTTACCGCTGCGGGGGCTGTCGACATGCAAAAATAGCACAGCGCGCAGAGGAGTTCTGCGGCGGCTGCTACTGCACACAGATATGCATGTAGAGCAGATATGAGTTACCCCGGAAAACACACCACCCATTGATGATGCCTATCCTTGATCTGTGAGCTAAGTGACCTGAACGTAGACAGCACGAAGGATCCTGGGATAAAAAGGGGGCTTGCTGTTGCAATAGGGGGCTCCGTGCCTGCACTACTGCTGGTGTGTGTTCTGCGGTCTCACTGGCTGGATGGAAAAGCACATGATGATCTGTTCAAATACAGCGGAGTCCATCAGCAACAACAACACAGCGCCACTACCACCACACGTCTGCACGATACAGCAGTCCTATCCCTCCAACAAACAGCCTTCACTAGTTATCCTCGGCACTACATATCTCGAGAGGAGAGCAGTATTATAGCACGGCATCATCACCGGCTCTCCGAAGAAGAAATGGCCAAGAACACAAGAGCGGCGTGCCGTCATCCAGACTGTACTAAGCAGGCAATATTCGGTGCGCCGGGCAAGAGACCCGAGTTCTGCAGCCATCACGTCCAGGACGACACTATGGTCGACAGAAAGAACCCCAGGTGCGGTCACCTAGGGTGCGGCAAAGTGGCGTCGTTCGGCGTGGCGGGTAGCACGAAACGCGAGTTCTGCGGCCGGCACGCTCCCCGCCCTACCATGGTGGACCTCGTCAACGTTTCGAAGTGTGGTCACCCGGGCTGCGCCAAGCACCCGTCGTACGGCGTCGAAGGTAGCAAACAGGCTCAGTTCTGCTCGGCGCACGCGCCTGAAGGAATGACTAACCTTCGTTCGAAGAGATGCAGCCATCAAGGCTGCACCAAGCAGCCGTCGTACGGCGCCCAGGGAACAAATAAGGCAGAGTTCTGCCTTCTTCACGCTTCCCCGGGGATGGTCGACGTGTCCAGCAGGAAGTGCAGTCACCCAGGGTGCACAAAGCATCCGTCGTTTGGTATAGACGGCGACAACAGGGCCAGGTTCTGCCTCAATCACGCTTCACCGGAGATGGTCAACGTCGTTCGCAGGCGATGCAAGACCCAAGGATGCATGGCGAAACCGTCACATGGGGCCGAAGGCACCAAACGGGGTGAATTCTGCCGCCGGCACGCGCCGCCTGGTATGGTCAACGTTGTTTCCAAAAGATGCGAGCACTCCGGGTGCTCCACTCTCGCCTCGTTCGGCACCGAGGGTAGCAAAACGCCTCGGTTCTGCAAGCGGCACGCGCCGCAGGGGACGTTCAACGTGTCCAAGAATAGGTGCAGGCACCAAGACTGTTGGAAAGAAGCGTCGTACGGCGAGCCAGGGAAACGCCTCAAGGTCTTCTGCGCTCTCCACCGTACAGTCGGCTCGGTGGGTTTGAATACATTGAAGAAGAGGGCCGGCGGGCGTGAGCGTGGGAGCTCGGCAGGGAATGGCGAAATTAAGCTAGAGCAAGGTGCGGAACCCTTCGTGGGCTTCGTGACAAAACGAAGGAGACTGAACGGACTCGCCGCAAGTTTGGCTCCAGGTGGGAAAGCGTTTCGATTCGTTGCAGCAGGCCGATTATCGTTGGGATTTTGGAGGGTGAATAAGGTGGTTGCTTCTGTCCATGCGTTCGCCATCGTGTCGAAACCACTCGCCACGGTTCTGGACGACACAGACCGGTGCTCTCGTGGTTTGGATGTTTGTCTCAGCCTTTCCTCGTCTGCAGCAGTGGGTCGTTGCTCGATCACAACCCATTGATTGCTGCTGCCGCAGGACCCCCCGATGATGTTGCGTGGTACAGCAGAGCCGCGTACACTTCAAAGAGAAAATGTTGTAGAGACAAGCTAGTACGATTCTAGGAGGGAAGGAATGACCTGTCTACAGAGGCATACAATCTACAATCGCGTTTCGGAACAAATGTATCGCAGTCGGAGATGTCATCTTTTATAAACAGATACATGTGTTGGCTGGTCGTTAGCGGTGGAGGCTGTTCGGGTGTTCTTTTCCCTTATGTTTCCAGGCGGATGTTCGACTTTGAGAGTCTTGCATATTCTTTGAAGCAGCTGTAGCATTCTTTCCAGCACAGTAGCGGGTAGAACAGCGAAGAACATCTTGCTTGGTCACAGGCCACAGGTACCCATATAGACTGCAGTTTCGATAACGCACGTCTGTACACTCCGTGGTTGCGCTTGCTGCACGCTGGAGGAACAACAACACGCCCGCCAGAAAAGTTTGAACCGCTGAATAAAGTGGGTAGGCCATTCAAGTACTACTGCTGTAGCAATCTAAGAGGTGGGAGGCCGTTGTGGCTCGAATCGCTTCTGTCGGTCCCATATGTACTCCCCAAACCTGAAGACCTGAAAAACACAACAATTATTTTTTACCCTCTCTTCATCTCAGAACAACACCCGCCGCCTGTTTGTTGGTTTTGTCTTTCTACTGCTATCGACTCCCACGTTTGTGCCTCTGTGCTGCTGCTGCTGGTCTATACTGCTGCTCGAGTCTTGGCTGGTCATATTGCATCATTACACCTCCTCACTGGTTCTCATCCTTCGTGAGGCACAGGCAAACACACGCTGTGGTACATAGCTAACAATCACCCACGACCCACAGCACAGCTGCACGGAGTCGGAACGTTGGAGAACCGAACATAGAACGACGTTGTATGAACGTAAACAAATAGTGACGACAAGTAGGTCTGCACCCAGGTCGCTGAGGACGTGAGTTCGTTGCTTGTCGATGTTTTTTTTTCCGTTCATCACCTGTCTGTTTGATTTGTTTCCCCCCCGTCGTGGGTGCAGTACGTACGTACGTGTATTTATTTGTACTGCGTGATGGTTTGGCTGCGTGTGCGTACGTGCATCCGTCTTCCTTTGAATTTTTGAAAAACACACAGCTCCGGAGGGATGCTTGTATAGCACTATGAAAAAGAGCCACAAACGCATCACAAGAGCTCGCAGCTTCATACACCTTGTGCATAGAAGACAAAACAAAAGAATATAACCTCAGCCGCAGGTTGCAAAAAGAATCAGCTCCTAGAAGCACCAGCCCTACGTCCACCACCGTACTCAGAGCATAATAATTTCGGCAAACGTGAGAATACTGCCAAGAACGGCGATATGCTCACCAATGAGGCGAAGCTAGGCTGGATGGGCGATTGCGGACGGATGGAGGGAAACAAAGCAGAAATCCATCAAATGCATGCAGAGTTGCAGAGGGGCGGGAGAGAGTGCTGAAGCATGCAACGATAGGGCGGAGGAAGCATTGCTTTGCCATTGCCTCTCTCCATATCCATCTACGTCGATGTTTACTGTCCTAGCCGGCCATGATATTTGACTATTAGCGTTATTTAGGGATCAATGAGAAAGGTAGCATTTGTTTCCAGTACCAGGTTTGTACAGTTTTACGACCTAGGGGACACGCGGCTTGGGATATGGTGTACAGCAAGTCAGAGGCCGAGGAGAGGCATCACGCAACACGTTACACAGCGCACCACCAAGCATGATAGACCAAGTGTTCTCATATGTGTTTCACACAGCGGAGCCTAGGGTGACTACGGTGCGGTAAACAGACATTTGAGTGTTGTGTCCCCAAAAGTATCCCCATATGGGCGTCCATTACTAGGGGACTAAGAGAGAGTTGACCGTTCTTGGCACGGGTCTCTCTCTTAAACCGTAACGGCCCCTGTACCGCCTTTGTTTCGCTTTTCGCTTCGCGGAAATCGGCTCAAAATGAACACATTGTGCAAGGTATTCGTCCATCAGTATGCAGTATTGTTTGACGGCCATCGTTTGTCGGAACTGCAGGCGAGACAAGACCAGCGGGAGAAGGAGTGGTTGAGCAGCAGCAGCAGCCCAGCATCTCCGAGGTTAGAATTTAGCTGTATCCTTGCCTCGTACTGCTACATTCAGCAAAAAGGCACATCTCAGCGCTGCTGGTGTTGCTGACAGCACCTGATGGGGTGAATGGAACGTGGGAGAGCCGTCCATGATTTTCTCGTGAGCGTCGAGCGCGAGGGTCCTATTTCCGTGACGCGGAATCTTCGCGCGCAAGTTTTATTTTCGTTTTTTCTGCTTAACATTCGTATTTTTGAGGCAAGGTTGCGTACGCGGTGTTGAAGTTGTTCGGGTGGGCTGTCAGTCGTTGAACACCACCTCCCCTCCGTCGTCATACAAGGGGAAGAGGGGGGCGATAATAGTGCAGGCACACACGGACCGGTCACGATTGGCATCCGAATTGCTGTGAGGTTGCTTTGGAGGCACTGGTGTAGGCTTTTCGGACGATCGTCAATAGGGTCGTGCCCTCCAAACGTGTTGCAGAGGGAAACAAGAGGGCGCATCAGCCTTCTCCTATTCTACTGGTGTTGAGAAAGACGCTGTTTCTTGTCTTAGTCCAAAGCTAGTCCATCCCGGTAGTGTTGCTCTGCTTCAGGACGCCTCTCGCCGATGAGACCGGCGCACGTTTCTTTACCACCACCACTGCTTCACTGCTGCCGCTGGTGTAAACAACTACCATAGGAGTGGGGCACAGGCTTCATGTAAGCACGTTTTCTTGTGAAGCTTGCCTTTGCTATCGCGTCTGAGACCATACATTGTATCCACGTGCGGAAAGTCGTGTTTTTCATGTTTTGTGGGGGCATCTCCCGTACTACACGTGGCGGGCTCACCTTGACAGAAGCGAGCCTATCGACGGCTTGGTTGCTCTAAGACTGCCGGGCTTGGTTGCTCCGACACGGTCGCCGTCGAAAACCTTGACAATTCCGTTGGTTTTTCAAAGATCGCACCGTCCTCTCATTTGTCGCCTTCGAGAACGTCGACGAAGATATAGGACGGTAGACGACGAAGACGACAAGTTCAAATGTGAATGGGGCTTCGAATGCGAAGACCGTGTTCATGTAGTCGCGGAATGTCGGCTGTACAATAAGGAGAGGGAAGTGTACATGACTGAGCTGAGAAAAATACAAGGGAGGTACAGGGAGATGTTTGAGGCATGGAATAGAGAGGAGAGGACGGTAGCTGTACTGGGGAGTAGGAAGTGGTTTGAAAAGGCGGTAAGGGATATCGTTAGGATAGACAGACTAGGGAAGATTTTTTTTTAGCCACCTTTGGCAAAGTAGGAAGGAACGATTGGCCATCGGTGATCGGTCCTGTGGGAACAATTCTCCGTCCTCTCGAGGACGCGTGGTCAATGGTCTAACCGCTCAGTAAGGCATGCAAAACATAAGAGTACGCCCCCCGTCCCCTCATTTGTCGCATGTATGTTCCTCATGGCCAAGAGGTAACCCTGCGTTGCTCTGCACTCTGCACCCTCTCTCCTGACGCCAACAAAGTTTCATCGCTCTGCCCCCCTCCTGACACCACCACTATACATCAACTGCTGGTTGCATATGGGAGGCTGGTTGAGCAGTAGACATATATATATATATATGGCTCTCCAGGAATTGTAAGCAAGCCTGTTCTGATCTATCTTCCGAAAAGTTGTGAGACATGTGACAGCAGTGCGTGTATGCGTGCCACAGGCGCTTGCTGGCACACAGCAGTCTGGTGGGACACCGCATCTGATGTGGGAGATGCACCACAGAGTCACGCGCATCGGGCGCAGGGGTCGCAAAGTCCACACAGCAGCAGTAGAGAGCTGCGTGCCTCCTCCAAAAAGGGACATGCATGCGTGCTGGCACACAGCAGTTAGTTTTGGTTTGGTTAGGTTGGCTTGATTTAAGAGTTGAGCAAGTGGGACAAGTTTGACTTGATTAATCTATGGAAACAAGTGTGACAAGTTTCACTTGACTAATCTATGGATTCAGATCACTTTTTTCACTTGATTAATCTATGGATTTCGATCAGTTTTTTTGCTTGATCTATCTATGGATTCAGATCACTTTTTTTACTTGATTATCTATGGATTTCGATCAGTTTTTTTACTTCATCTAAGTGAAAAAATCCGTAACATTTTTTACTTGATCGAAGAAGGAAAAGTTCGGACAGATTTCTTTATTGCTTTTTTGCGGGATTGGGCTGGCACTTACCGTTTACGAGCAACAAACAAAACTTTTTCGAATTCTGAGAGCAGCAGGTATCACCAGCCCGGCTTTTCTGTTTCTCAAGAATATCGCGTCATCCCTGCGAGTACGGGACAATAATGCGCAAAGGGTTTCAACCCATGGACTTACCAAGAATAAACCTGTGTGACCTCCACGAGATACCACGCTCACTCTGCCGTGTTCGTCGTTGCTATAATAGTCAACAAACGCCGTAAATCGGTATAATTTTCCCTTTGTAGAGTGGCAAAGATCCCAAGGGCCTTTGATTCCAAAGAAAGCCCGTCATTTTTTACCTTCGTCTGACTGTCGCACACCACATTCGATCCCACCATTTGTCACTCAGGAGAAACACGATGGAACAGCCGGCACAGCAAAATCCAAAACTCAACAATTTTCCCGAATAAAAGTTAGGCGGACTACTGCCTTTCCCCGGGCACGATCCCAACTACCACTGCATGTGTCTCACCCATGAACTTTGTTGGTCCGCATTCAGGGTCACAGCAGTCGGTGAGTTCGCGGAAGGTCATACAGCATGGATGGGGGAAAAGGTAGTTCTTTATTCCTAGGGCACACTGAAACAGGATCATCTTTACCATCTGCAACGATCATACAAGGCACCATAAAAAAAAACGCAGGCGTAAACTGTAACAAAATTCTTCAAACCGCGCGAACGAAGACACGAAGCCCCATCCGTAAATCAAAGGCCATCGCAACAAGTACAGCACTCCATTGGCCTCCACAACCTGAGACCGGGCTGAAACACAATGCACCAACACCAAGGTGCGCCTCAACCCAAAACCAGCGGCTGGCTGGCTTCCCACGACAGACATCCATCAGAAGAAGACCGAAAATACCCCTGTCCTACCACCACTCCCGCATTAAGGTGTGGTTGATGCTGCTGCTGCCGCGGTTGCTGGCAACGTTTCCTCGTCGCCATGGATTCCACCTCTTCCCCCGCCCCCTCGAACGCTTCCCCGATCCACCGCTGCAACCTCTCTTGTCGCCGGACACTCCTGTCGCGGGATGCGCGCAGCGCCTCTTCCCTTAAAGCCCGGAAGCACCGTCTCGCTAGCTCCAAGCGGCCCGCGGCCTCCACGGTCGCCTCTCGTCCTGCGACAACGCCGCGCCGCAGGAGGCACGCCGCCGTGAGCTTGCCTGCCGCAAGCACCACACGGATGTGCGCGTCGCAGCGTTGGTTGCAGCCGGCGACCGCCGCCTCCGACGCCCGGACCAGCTCCACGTGTTGCGCCTGGCTTGCCGCCAGCCTATCTCGGAGCGTGGTTACTTCGAAGGCGCTGGCGCTGTTGTTGCGGAGAGATTTTCCTTGTAACCTCTCCGATTCTCCTGACCTGTTGTCGCCATTCCCAACAGCGTTTAGACGCATGCCTGTCCTCGCCGCCTCCTGGAGATCTTGTGCGGCCTTACCTGGCCCCGAAACCGCGGGGTCACTCAACATGCGCCCTCCCACAGCCCCGTTATTTGCCTCGTACCTGGCACGTAAGTCCTCAAGCCTGGCTTCTCCCTCCCATTCCCGGCCACCCAAATCTCTAATCCTCCCGACGAGGGCACACACTCTCCTGGCGTCGGCGGCATGCAGGCTGGCGATCGATGCCCCCAGCTGCTGCTCAAGGAGAATCACGCGTCGATCCAACTCTCTGACCGTCTCTCGCAGCCCCGACGCCTCTCTCTGCGCCACCGAGCACTGCTCCCTCGCCCCAAGCGCCGCCGCCGTAGCCCGCAGAACCTCCGCCTCGATCGCCTCGACCTCCTCGCGGTGCCGCCGCGCAGCCGAGGCGGTGTCCTCCTCGGCCTTGCGCTTACCCGCGGTGGCCGCGTCCGTTTCCTCTCTCGCCAGACCGGCGGCCGCGCCCGCCGCCTCCGCCGCGACGCGGGCCGAGCTGCCGGCCGCCTCGGCCTCCTCGCCCCGCTCTTGAGCCTCCCGCAGCGCCGCGCGCAGCCTCTCCGCCCGCCGCTTGTGGTGCCTGACCTCTTCCCGGCCCGCTCGTAGGGACTCTTCTAGCGCGAGCAGGGTCTTGCGCGCCCTCTCTCGCTCCTTGGCCTCCCGTGTCCCCACCCTATCGGTGAAGGAGGCGACGGGGGTGCTGCAGGTGGAGGCGACGCGATCACACTGCCGGCGTTGGGCAACGTGCTTGTCGTTGTCGCAGGAGCCCCTCCACGACTCGGGGGTGATCCCGTGTTCTATTCGACCGCTCATCGTGTGGTGATGGCGAGTCTGGTTTTCCCTTCTCGTCGGGGTCTCGTCACCGTCGTAACGACAGACATCGGTGTCGTCAACCCCTTGAGTCGAAGCGCTTCTGTCGAGAGCCTCGCCGCCGGCTTCGCCGCCACCTCTCCCCGATTGACCACGCCGATGATCGCCGATTTCGTTATCCCGTGATATGTTCCGTTGCCGTTCGATTTCGTCATTGGCGGCTCCCAGCAGGGATGCCAGACGACTCACTTCGCCTTGGAGCTCACGCACGTGTCCCTCCGATTCGACACGGGACGACCGTTCCTTCTCGAGCTCGTCGCGGGCCGCTCGACAAGCGTCCGCCTCTTCTCCTCGCGACAAGGCTAGGCCTGCAATGGTTTGTTCCTGTCGAGCAAATCAAGTGCGCCGTCGTAATTGGGTTTGGAAGACCGCGTTGAAGAGGCGTGTCAGGCTCCCCGGGACGCAGAAGCGGGAAGGGAAGGGGGGAGGGCTCGGTAGCCTCCCCAAAAACGATCTCGAGAAGAGCACTCAAGATATCTAGCGCGACCTTCAATTCAAACCTTACTTATGTCATACAACTAATGAAGCCGTGAAGTGTACCATAGAGGAAGTGCCCCGAGGCGGAATCCAACATTCGTACAATATTGCCCTGCGTTGCTCAAGGGCACCGCAACGTAACGCTCTAAAAGTCACCTGAGAGCACACGCCTTGTTGGCAGTACCCGAAAGCTTTGGCAGACACCAGCACTGCGTCCTTTTCGAGAGCTCTACAACTGCCAGGACTCGCGTAGCGCCCTAAGTGAGTGACGGTCTCTTAGGACAGAATAATACAACCCCCCACACATGCACATAACACACCTGCTGACGACACTTATTTTTCAAGGCCACGGCGCCTGCCCACGCCTGCGCGGCCTTCCTGCCCGCAGCCTCCGTCTCTGCAAGAGACCTGGCGCTCCCCTCTAGCAGGGCCTCGCGCCGCGCGGAACCGACGTCCTCCTCGGCGGCCCGAAGTCGCGTCCGCAGGACAGCGATCTTTTCGGGGCGGGAAACGCATCAAGAAATCCGTTCACTGCTGTGTCTGCACACTGTAGTACAGCCGAAAAAAAAGTGTGCATCGCTCTCTTTATCACCGCCAAAATGACCAAAGAAAAACTACCTGGTCTTGCTTGTGAGCCAATACTTTTTCGCCCACTCTCCCCTCCGAGCGATCACTGAGCGAACGTTGACAAGACACTCGCCTCTCCCTCCCGTGTCGCAGCCGCCTCCACGAGCTCCGCAACCTCTCGTTGGGCGACAGCTGTCTTCTCTCCCATCTCCTGCCCTCGCGCTTCTGCCGCAGTCAGGCGCCTCTCGAGCCCCTCCCGTGTCACGTCAAACGTCGATTCCAGCTGCATCCCCGTTCAGATAGACATGGACATATCGGCGGAGAAGGAGGTGGGCGATTGATGAGGTAAGGGGCAGGGTTAAAATAGTACCTCCAGCGCCACAGGCGCCGTAAGCCCTCCGCAGGAGCCGCCGGAGCCCCCCCCCGGAGGGGCCCCCGGAGAGGCCCCCACAGGGGAAAAAAATTGGTATTATTGTGCTTAATTTGCTTCACCCTCTAGCTATATTTGAGGGGCTTTTTCGGTTCATCGAGCTTGTATGCATGCATGTGCTGTACGTGCTAAGAAAGGTCGTGCTGGTTGCTAATAATAATGTGCCCTCGCTCAGCGGGCGGTGCACATGTTCGGGTAACTTTCTCACACCGGCGTGCTTGGGAATTAAATTTGTGTGTAGTTGACAAAATATCCTACAGTTAGTAAAAAAAGTAGTACTTCCTTGTGGTACTCACTGCTGCTGCTGCTGCTGTTCAACGACGAGGTAGTACGTAAATACTTAGAATAGAAGAGTACACAGCCCAAGTAGCAACCAGTTCCCTCCATCTGCAGCACCAGCTGATCGGCTACATCAAATGCGCACGTGTAACGTGTAACACCTTCTTGTGGCCCGCCGCATGCCCCCTGCCCACCACCTACCCCCGCTACACAAACAAACAAACCGCAGACCGCGCAGTACATGCCCACAAACCACAAGGCATACACACCGTCGTCAAAACATAACCGCAACAACCTATTGTACAAAACATAACCGCAACAACCTATTGTACAAAACATAACCGCAACAACCTATTGTACAAAACATAACCGCAACAACCTATTGTACCATGGCGACCACCCGCCACTCGTCGCTAAGATTTTGTACGGATTGTGTGGGTATGATGTGTGTCTTGTTCGTGGTTTCGTAGTTTCGTGGATGTTTTTCGCGGCTGGTTGGTGGGGCGTGGGGGATCTGCGGAATTGCGCGCCGAAAAATCGGCGAGATTGCTCGTAGTTGCCGGGGGCAGGTAAACACGTTGTCGGGGGCGTGCTGCCGAATTGAGACGACCCTTAAAATATTTTTCGGCGCTTCGCGCCGAGACAGTCCAGTTTTCGGGGCAGCGCCGACAGCGCCGATAGCGCCAACAGCACCGACAACGCCGACAACTTTTTTAAACTCTGGTAAGGGGCACAACAGTGAAAAAATCATTGCCTCAAGTCATGAAGTCATTGAAGAGGTATGATCCCTTTCGAGAAGGAGGACAGTTTCGCTTCCGAGATCCTAAGAAAACACCGCCAATAGTGGGGCGCTCTCTACTCTCAAAATTGGTGAGTGCCGTTTGTCCCCTTCATTCTTGATGTGACATGGTCAACATCTACCTCCGATCGTGGTATTTAGGTTTGCTATCGTTCCCGCACTACTACTGTGTCGATTGTTCTGGAGGAGGGGATCGGACTGTACGACCCTCAGCTCACACAAGCATCGGATACAATCTGGCGGATCAAGATTGAGTAGACGGATGCGTGTCAAATCAAAGGACCACCAGGTAGTTAGACCGGCTACACCCCAGGTAATGACTTAAAGAGCACAGCTCGCCTTTCGGACTGTCTCTGCCAGATTTTCTTCCACGAGGTCCTCCACGGCCGTCGTTGTTCTCTCCTCCAACTCCAGAGCCCACGCTCGTGCCTCCGCCGCTTCTGCCTGCGCTCGGCGCAAGCTCAGGCGACAGTCGAAAAGCTTGCGAAAAGATGGAGCGGATGTGCCACACACGCCGCAGACGTGCTCGCCGCTGCTTTCGCCACCGCCGGTGTTGGTGTGGTAGTCATCAACACCCCCGGCCTCTGCTTGATCGTCGTCTCTCGTCGTCCCCACGGCTGCTGCCGGCTCGGCGGTGCCTGGCAGTCTGCGAATCCCTTCGAAAACCTTGAGAGCGGCCGCCACTGGCGTTCGTACGCAGTTACTGCTGTCGCCGAAGGTGACCCTACCCTCCTCCTCCTCCTCCTCGTCGCCCGTAAGCCGTGTTAGCCCCCTCGCCTGCGACTCCTCGTTGTCCGGCCGCGCTGCGGAATGCTCCGGATACGAATCCCACCGCGAGAAGGACTCGCGGATGTCATCACCACGACCGCTGCCGCTCCCTGCACCGCCGGCATAGCTGCTGCAACCGTCCTCCTCTTGCTCCTTACCTTCGCTAGTAGCCGGCTGGTGCCGGAGGAGCCGCCCCGGTGTCCTCCTAATGTGCGCGACCTCAAGTAGAGACTGCAAGGCGGCGTCCCTGTCTCTCTTCATTTTGCCGATTTCTGACTGTGCCGTGGCGAGAGCATCCCGCATGTCGTCTAGCGCAGCCTCGGAGCACCTGGCTGTCTCCCCAGTTGCCGATCGGAGAGCGAGTATTGCTGCCTGATCGTTTGTCCAGGTGTGGTATTTCATAGGGCCAAACGGGAACGAAAAGGCGCCGAACGTGGCCGAGGATGACGCTGACCCGAAACGATTTCGGTGTGGAACGAGGCAGTACACATTTACTGTACAAATAAGCCAGGTATGGGTCGTCTTCGTAGAAACTTCTACTTCTACTTCGCGCAAACGTACGCAGATGACATTGAAACTATTTCATCATGTAGGCAAGACAGAAACTGAACATGCGCAAGCCTTTGTACAATGTCAACTTACCTGTGCTACACCAAGCCCATTCCTCAGCTCCGCCTCTCTGCCTCTGACCACCACCGCCGCCTCCTCGCTTGCCTTCCATCGATCTGCAACAAGACCCTCCTGTACGCCGGATACTTCAAAATCACTGACGAAGCTCCCAGCCTCGCCCCCCCACTCTCCGGACCATACTGCCCAAGCGTCCCTCTCTTCCGCCAGCTGCCGCTGGTCGGCCTCCGGTGGTTCCTCCTGCGCATCTTGTTTCAGTAGCGCTAAGGCCCCCGCCGCTCTTCGGATCTCCTGACCTCCCACCGCCGCGGCCGCCTGGCCCGCGCCGAGGCTCGCCGTGCTCGCACGTCTTCCGGCCCTGGCTTTAGCAGCGAGCGCGGCGGCCCTGACTTCCGCGGCGGTCACCTGGTACGTATTTCCGAGCGACTCGCGGGAGGTATCCGGGTTGGTAACCGCTGCATCCGTTTCGGCTCGAACCGTCTTGTTGGACGTTATTGCGGCCTGCTTCGGTAGATGCGGCGCGGCGGGGCGGGATAGTGGGGGCCTAGGCCTGATGGAGTTTCCTGTGATGCTGGCGGTGGGGCTCGAGAGACACGCGGAAAAATCAATGTTGTAGGGGGGGGCGTATTTTTCTCCTCCATGTTACGCAACATTGCGGAGCGAGGACAGACTGCCCTAGCAAGCCAATCGCCACGAAAACCAGGTCACCGTTATTTTCCTGAACGGCTACTCCAGATGCAGCCGGTATTGGCTTCTTTCACGGCGGAGGAACACTCCTGTCATTGCTTTCCTCTATTCTACGGTCAGATGCTGGCAGGACACAGAGAGTCAGGACATGGAGTCTGAAAGCTACCAACAACATACAAAATGCAGCGTCAGAAATAGCCATCGTCGAAGACGTGGTGAAAAAACAGCGACACGCACCGTAGGTGCCGGTTGCTCACGTTGTAGTCATGGACGGAGTACCTGCGTCGCTACAAGAACGGATGTCTCATCTCCGTTCTGTGTGTGTGCGTTGTGTGTCTCTTTTTCTGTCTCTGTACCCCTGTCTCTGTCTATCCCTCTCTGCCTGTTGCCTCACCTCTATCTCTACCAAGGAAGCGTCAAAATGATCCCTAAGGCGCGCGTTCTTGGTTGCCAACGACCTCGATCGCTCTTCTAAAACCAGCGCCGTCTGTCTGAGAAAATTGGTAGCAGTTCCTGTTGCGCCAAACCGGGGAGGAAAGGGAACAAGCAAGGTTGCCCACGGGTTGTTCCGGGTAGGGAGCGGGAATTCTCCAAGGGGAACCCCTGTGGTTGCATACGAATACACGAGCACCGTACGCCGTGTTACCAGGGTTTATCATACACCTCACACTCATCCAAACCGATTGTAAATGCGTGAGCAGCCAATCCTGACCCAAATCCATAAATCAGAACTGATTCCCCCTTCGTATTTTTCCCTTCCCCTTGCCCGAGCCTCTTCCATGATCTTGTCTCACCCGCTGTCATGTTGGGGGCTATTTCCTCTTCCGCTCGGCTAGTGACCATCACCTGCCCCCCTCGTCTTTTTCTACGTCCGACCGCGGGTTGACATCGGAGTTTGGGCGCAAAAAGAGAAGAGAAGAGAAGGAGCCGACGAACGAGAACAAGGGGAGATTTGTTGATCACAAGGAGCACCTCAACGCAACAGAGTGTGCAAAAATTAGCACAACTTTCGCTCTACATGGGGGACTTGGTGATGTCGAGATCCAACCGACCCCTCTAGCAACATGTACCATCAGGGTGCACAACCACGAATGATTCGGGCATGAAGTGGATGACACATTGCTGTCGCTGGTTTGGGTAGACTACATGTAAATACGGTAAATGTCCGTTGCCTCTTTTTTCTGATCGCTCGATCTGCATGGCATTTGCTGTTTCCATGGACCCTACTGCTGTTGCGACGAACATGCTGCGGTAACAAGGGTGTTGGTGGCACCCTCAATGGCACCTACATATGTATGACACGAGTCCTACGTGGAGGGTTACAAAGCACACGATTTTGTAGAAGTCAGGGAGCGGGGGGATCAGAGATCTATGGTTGTTCGGCTTGTATACATATGTGCCCGTTGTATGGAGACTATTGTAGACAGCAGTGTAGTGAGCCCGCAATGGCAGGCACGAATCAATTAGGCACTAGCTGGGGGCTAGGCCTCCGAGAACAGGCAACTATACGTCCCCAACAATGGGCGATAGCCCTCTATGCCCTGTACCAGCTCGGCAGGAAGGCCAGCCCTCCGGAAGAACAAATGTGCGAAGGCATGCGTGCACGCACCTCATAACGATTCCGATGCCTCACGCTCTCTGCTACCACCTCTCCGCCGCGTCTGACCAGCAACGCATACCGGCAGACTCTCCTCCGACAAACACCACGATTCGTGACACCAGTGACTACACCCGAGGGTGTGAGTGTGAACGTGATTAGGGGATTTACCGACGAAGTACGTGGAGTGGGCACCATCAGCTGGGCACCCATGAGCACGCGCGGCGGAACCTCGAGATGAAGAAGAGAGAGCTCCCCGAAACGGCATATTAAACCGCCACCGAGAGACCGAGGGAGCAGAGAGAGACAGGGAATCGGCACGTTACACACACACCTGCAGAGCTACCCTAGCCACTTAGAGTTTACTCTGGATCATCGTCGTGATTGCTGTGGGGCCCAGTGAAGCCGGTGGCTACTACTTTTCAGTTTTCAGCACGTTTCTGCCATCCTTAGAGCAAGGAGACTCGGGACTTCAACTCCTGGAGGAGGGTGTGCAACCGGTTTTGAGCACAACGCCAAAGGCTGGAGAAGGTCTTGGGGAGCCGCGAGTGCGGCAGTATTCGAATTACGCATGGGAGAATCAGTGGGCGTACTCCTGTAGTCTTTTCCCGGTGGTAGTGGGTTGCCTCTCAAGCGGTAGAGCCGGGTCGGGAGAGGGAACAAGCCGCTGCGGACTCTTTTAATCCGCGACACGAACAACATACCAACTGCGACAAGCGGTAGCAGCAGTGCTTGCGAGAATGACGCTGCTCACCCCCGAGCCGATCGACTTCGACGACACCTGGGTTCTCCTGGAGTCGTCTCTCATCACGATTCTCCAGGACCTGGGGCAGGGATTCCCCAATGACCTCTGGATATCTCTGTACACCGGCGTGTACAAGCTGTGCACCAAGCCCATGGACCCTCAACACAGCAAGCTTTACGCCCGACTCAAGGTATGAACGTCGACTACACTGCTGTATGCAAATGCAAACACACTGTACGTCTTCGGCGTGGATATGGGTGAACGAGCGTGCTTTTCATAGGATGCTATGGCCGCTAGCTGCAAGTGCAATGCCCTTAAATGCTGGTGAAGTCATTGCTCTGTCGCTGTGCGTCGTACACGAGACACACCGTAAGTTTGCACAAGATACCACACCCCCTGGACCAATTTTCAAACCCCTACACACTGCTAGCACAACAAGCGCGGGTGCCAAAATGGCGGTGTTGGAACCATCTCGTCAAGAGCTTTCCGACAACGTATCATTTGACTATTAACATTCTCTTGGCGGTGGAGTGATCGAGCTTGAAAGTAGGTTCAGGGAGGTTGTGGTGTCTTCTGCCAGACGGTATCCCAAAACGGAGTGTTTATACGAAAAATAGGTACTACAGCAGGCGTCGGGTGCCCTTCTGCATCGCATGGTAGAAAACGGAGTACTTCGTACACTGTTGGATGGTTGTCCCACGACAGATCCATCCACCCACCTACACTACGAATACTACAAAGCGGCCAGGACACCCACCGCCTAGACAGCTACTGCTGTGACTCGCACTCCTCCACAAGACGCTCCTCGTTTTGTGATGCCCAACACCAACCGTGCACTATAGAAGGCCGTTCGTCTGTGTGCATCGGTAGTTTGCAGCTACAGCAGTAGTTGCGTGCGGCAACTCAGGTGGATCAGCGTCAAGCCATGCGAACATGGGTGGGTTCACTGGGCTGCACAATAGTAAACGACGTCCTCTTTTTTCTATCCAGTCCGCCGGAGGACCAACGAAAGAAAAAGCAATGAAGACGGTTGTCCATCACGGACAATCAGCCTCATGTCTCGTCTTCGCTGCAGGAAGTTTCTGCCAAAATCAGACCAGCGTGAGACTGCTAGTCTACGGAAACTCTGCCACACATGTTGTGTGACAAGCATGCGTGCCGTTTCGGCTCCTGATGCCCATTCCCCACCCCTCGACAACAACCACTGCCATGGAGTCTGAATGCAAACAAAACGGCGGTGGCAAGTTAGAGCTGGCGGCGGGTGTCGCCTTCGTTGAAAAAATTCCTCCGTCGAAGCTGCGACCCGTGTACACTCACCCAAGAACAGAGGCCTACCGCTGTACCCACCATACAGCGGTAACCCCGCGACGGCAGAGAGCGACCCATAAGCAGTACGAGAAGTGAGCTAACAACAGCGTTCGATCCCCCACCACGTCAGAAGTTCGCGTAAAACAAACGTCATACACCCTGCGTGTAGCTCCACTGCTGTAGGCCTTGACACCACCGAACGCCATACTTCACGTAGATCCACCCTTACACATGCACAATACAGCGTAAGTTTCTACCCCGCACCCCCCCCCACCCCTGTGTTGGCATTTTGTAGGAAACCCTGGAGCTCTACGTGGCAGGGGTCCTGAAGGGCTTGCTGGCTTTCGACAACGCCACTGCGCACTCTTACACCGAGCTTCTGGTCAGGTACCGAACATCATTCCACAACTATTCCGTCGGGATGCACTACGGCTCCGACTGGTTCAAGTACCTGGATCGCCACTGGATCAACACCAACCACTGCGAGACTGGAGTGTCGCCAAAAGAGGGGGTGAGAGACGGTGGAGGCGTGTTGGTGCATGGTCGCGACGGTGGGAGTTTGGTGTTGGTTCTGGCGCGTCCCCACATATGCGGTAGCATTTGACATGTATTATCGGTCAAAGGTAGTGTCCTGCTCCATCCCCGGCGGAAAGCAGTAGCGTATTGCGTAATCCTCTTTCTAGAACCTCTTCTACTGGGTTTCTCTCGCCTTCGCGTCGAAGTTGTGTACTCCTGCTGCATCTCCTCTCAGAAACATCAGACACATATCTTCGCGCTTCGTTCGGTTCGGCCGTCTCGCTATTCTCGCCTGGCGCGACGCCCGCCTGGTTTGTACAAACCTCACGGTTTCGCTTGTCAGAGTGCGAGGGATCTATCGATGTATGGCAACGAGTGTGCACCTTGACCCCGTGGTCTCTGCCGCGTTCGGAACGTGTATGGGAAAAAACAAATATAGGTGTACTTCGTGCGCGAGATGTCGCTGATGGTGTGGAAGGAGCGCGTGTTCGAGGCCCTGAAAGAGCGGCTGCGGCACAACACCATGAAGGTCATCAACGCCGCTAGGGAGAGGAATCTCAGCAACCTGGACGACAACGACGCCGTCAGATCCCTGCTAAAGACGTGAGACTTTGTTCGGCGCACGTACGACACCGCATTCTACCCACCCCTATTCCTCCCATCGCAAATAGTCTCGGTCTCGTCAAGAATCTCAACAACGTGGAATGAAGGTGGTTGTTCACTGATACGCAGCAGTATGCTCAAAGTATGGTATTTGTCTTGTCAAGAGCTTGCCGAGGACTCCTCCCTCGGAATTGACACCCTTCTCGTCATGGAAATATCGAGCGAAGAGATTCGGTCCAGGGAGGGGGGGGCGGTACACTATTGTAATCATCGGCGGCGCATTCGTCGAAAGCGTGCAAAGCAAAACAGGAGAGGCCCAATGAATGCCCGAGTTATCATTCTGCCCGCACTGTGTCTGTGTGTATTGCAAGGCGCGATCGCACCATTGGGTGTTGCTTTGCAAAATGAGTTCAGCCAGCGGCGACGAGCCAACGTTCTCTGTCTGCTCAAGGACAAGAACGTGGGGGTTCCTATCGCATTCGAAGAAACCACCGACTGCACACTGACATAACACTGGCATGACACATACAAGGCGAGTCAACAAGGCAAAATATACAACTGCTGCCCAGGATATTAGCTAGTCGAAACCGCAACTGGGAACGTCGTTTCTTCGCCATGAACAACGCCGAAGAGGAGGAGGTGCAGGACAGAGTTCAGAACGGCTTCGAGTATCACGGCATCACACCCTACAAAACGATATTGGTTCTACCGGGCGCATACGTTTCCTTCATGGTACGAGGGGACTTCAAACAGTACGCCTTGCTCGCCGGGATGCGTAACCGTGTCGTTCAACCCGTGGGTACTTGTCTTGACCGATTTGATTGCCTTGGAAGGTACGAGACGCTCGGCTTCGAAAAGAGGGACCGCAGTCACCTGTTCCAGACGGAACTCGAAGACTTTCTCGTTACGGACACGGGCAGATATTACAGGTGCGCGTGCGTTGGGGGGGGGGCAAGGCTCTTGCTTGTGTCTGGCAGCAATGCTTTTAACCTTCTGTAGCACTTCATGCACTCCCCTGCCCTCTGACCTCCCCCCCACCTACCCCACCCGAACTACGGTGCCTCTCAGCCGTCGTGGGAGCGACCTCCTGCAGCACATGTCCGTCCCCCGCTATCTCCAGGAAGTGGAGAGATACTTGCAGGTTAGTAACGGATACCGTAGAACTTGGTCATGCTGCGGAGAACGAGGAAGCACGCTTGTGCGCGACAGACCATGTGTTGTCGTCCCTTTTTTTCATTCACCGTCACCCCAACCTGAGCTCTTGCTCTCTATATATATTTTTTTGTCTTGACTTCAAATCAGCGCTCACAGCACTAGTGCCGTTTACTCCAACCCGTGGTCACACAGAAGAGCCCCTCTCTACCCTCCCCTCCTGCGGTACTTTGCCTTCGATTTTTAATGCGAGAAGAGTTTAGCACTCTCTTCCCTCTGTGTACACACGAACTAGCGCTATCCACTAGGCTAGGAGCGGAAGCGAGAGAAAAACTCACTTTGCAAGATAAGCTCGCTTCCGCTGGGATTCGAACCGCTGACCTGACCTCTAGAAGGTTTCGAGGATACCAACTAGACCGCCGGGGCGACTAATAGCATTAAACCACGCCGACGGCGAGAAAAAGCGGTATAACAGCAGGTTTCAGTCATCGCACTTCGTGTTCAACAATGAAGAAATACAGTTGACAAAATAATAGTGGAAACACACGCGGGGGTGGTAACAATTGGGTTGGGTTGATCGATAAAGGCTGAATGACTTTAAGATGGAGATGGTAGGGCGAGTCGGCTAGCCTTATTAAACGTTCGAGACGACTAGCAGACAGAAAATTGTCAAGGCCGCCATCTTGCCCGCTCTTTTTCGTAAGCCGAACCAAGAGCCATGGCTTTCTTCATGACTGACTTGTCTCGAAACACCCCAAAAAGGAGGTACGCCAATCCGAAAGGATGGGTGACTCCGACGCACCCCCCCCCCCCCCCCTGACCCCAAGACCTCCTCGGTCTCATTCAAACACACACCTCTTCTTCCTTGGAAACACACATCCTCCCTTGTCCTGTCTACACGTGGTGGCCTTCCGGCAACGTTCCTCGGAACGCTTCTCGGAACGCCTACAGGAGGAGGCGAGCCGCTGCGAGTCGTTCGTGGGCTCGTACTCGGCCCGGCGTATCCTTGTGGCTGCGCAGGAGGCGCTGATCAAGGCCCACTCCTCAAGGCTGGTAGAGGAGGCTAGAGGGTGAGAGCGGGCGGCGGTTGAGGGGTCTTGAAGGTGGTCGCACCGAGCTGAATGCTGTCGGGTACACTACGATAGCGATAAGACAACTTTTGACGTTCCGAGAAGAGAGAGGAGTGCACACACGTTTTTTGCTCCCCGCTGCAGTCCCTCGCCAATGACCACAGCCCACGGAGCTGGGTCACGCTCCTGATGTGCCATGCGAGGGCGTCAGATATAGAAGAGGCAGCAGCGGTAGGCACCGAAAATTGATTGGGGGCGTGTTCTCATAAGACTCAAGCTGCCAACTAGAACCGCGGGAAAAGAAAGCGACCGGTTTGGAGATGTAGTCCGTTTTTCGGGCACGAAGTCGCATCCCACGTGTGGACGTAACAACGACGAACAAACGGGGTAGACATGAGTTAAGCTGGGGTTGGCGCGAGAAGTTATGGCATACTGTAGTACTGCTTCGAAAAGGTTGCCGTGAATTGACCTTGGGTGTCGCAAGACTCAGTACACTGTAGAGCCAAGGAAGGGCAGAACGCGCAGACAATTCGTGAGCATCACCGTTTTGTCCCGGGGACTCCATCCAAACAAAGATGCTCCTGTGCAAACCCATGGTTGAACGTTGAGTAGTTTGCTATGGTTGAAAACCACCCGAACGAAAACTCACGAGCACTGCATTGAAGCCATAACTCAGGCAACTCACGTACGTTTACCCTTGTTTCTTGCAGGACGGTGCTTCCGTCGAGCCGAGTAAAGCAGAAGCCTTGAACAGCCAGCATCTAACCAAACTGCATCGTTTGTGCCTTGTGCCAACTGCATGTCAGCCGTTTCCTCGCACTAAAATCTGCGACTTATTCCACTGCCTGCGCACATGAGGTGCATCCACCTCCGCTCTAAACATATTCTTGGTTTCGTGCATTTACTTTTTGTTGTGTGCGCCTGGCGAAGAACTTGTTTTATTATCTTCTCAAAGTATTTGTTCCATTGTCGTGTGCGTGCTAGGATGCTGTCGGCGAGTCCCGAGAAGAGGGTAGACCTGAGGCGCCTGTTCACCCTGATCAGCTACCTGGAGGACGGGGAGACTAGGGGCGGGGGCGGGGCAGTAGAGAACAACGCCATGAAAGCTCTCGAGGAGGTAACGAAATATTGCCTTGTGCCGATAGCAGCACCAAACGCGTTGTTCAGAGTTTTGCGGCTTGTCACTCGTTCTTCGCGAAAAGCCCTGCTGCACAGCTGCACTCTTGCGAGGCTGTGCCACTGCTGTGGTGTTGCTGCGCTGTTGGCATGTTGACAAGGCGCGGATGTGAGTCTTGTAGTAGCGGTGACCCTGCTGACTGCTGAAATGAGATACGTAATTCTCAGTGCGGCAAGTAGAACGTATGCTTGTTAGGTTCTCCGACGGGGGGACGACGGCGGAGGAGGAACGTATCTGACCCCATCAATCTCCTGGGTTCAGCGTAGGGATACAGGGGAAAGTTGTGCCTAGCAGTGTTAGCCAAGCAGGGTTCCACGTCGACAAGCGGAGGTGTGATTGTGTGCTCTTCCGCCTGTTATCAGAGTCTCGCCGTGTTGATGGACTCGACGTGCTATTTTCTTGCTCGTCTATCGGGTGGATCGCTGATTTTGACAAGTTCACACAGCAAGGCACACATTTTTGAAGAAGAGTACCATCGCACAGATAATCTAGCCGAACTTGAAGCTCTCCTCGTGCAAACCACTAACGACGACATGATTAGAAGAACGGTCTTTCAGGTTCGACGTCCTTCTATAACGCCGACTCCCTCGTCGTGACTTACCAGTGAAGCGACGAGATCGTGCGTGCCTCACGAAACGAAACCTAGGTGGTACGCGATCACGTCCGGAGCGTGGGTCTCACCGTCGTCAAGGACCTCCAGGCCAAGGGGGCCATGGACGTGTCCGACGACGAGGCGGGGGTGCGGGACAACGACCTCCTACCCGCGGGCGGCGGCAAGGCGGCCGTCGTCACCAGCGACGACGTTGTGGCGGCCATGCTCGAGGCGAGCTCCTTTCATTGATGGACTGAACCGTGATCGTCGGAAGTTTGGCGGTCTGTTGCTTGGAGTTTGACGCTGCTTTCACTCCCTCGTACACGGCAGCACCATTGACCCTTCCAACTAGTTTGGCTGGCCCCGTGAGTGCCGTGACCTTTTGTTCACCATGACATTGTTTTTTGTTTTTTTTGCCGTTGTTCGCCCTTCATCAGGTGTACGAACACTACAAGGGTTTGATGGCGGACTCCTTCGACAGCTCTCCCGGCTTCAGGGCCGTGCTTGACGAAGCGTGCAAGTCGTTCGTCAACGCCGTCCCGCAGGCGTCGGAGTGGCTCGCACGGTACGCCCACTGCCTACTCGACAAGGTATGTAAGCTCCCCCTGGTGCTCCTTTTTGCGGTGGTAATGGTGATGTTCATCGAGCTCTCTGCACCTTTTTTTGTCAGAGTGTGCTATTTCGCCGCATGTTTCTGAAGAACGTTCATGGTTGTTTGCCTCCGCAACCAACCGCGGTGATGAACGGGTTGTGAATCCTGCCTCCTTGCTGTACGCTCGGATTTCCGGACCAGTAACACCGGTCTCGAATCAGTCTTCCTTGTTGTTTTGTCGCTGTTGTTGTGAGGGTTGCTGTTGTGATTGAATGGAGATAGACGACCACCTAAACGTCCGCTCGCAGAAACCACCCCATTCAATCAGAAATAACCAAAGTATTTCGCCTCGATATTCCTGTCATGTAACGCTAGGTTGCCATTTCACGAAACTCCAAAAACTAGAGCATTGATGTTTCCGAGTAACACGCTTCGCGTCTCCTTTGCAAACCTGTGTGTTTGTTAACGCGCAAACACACACGCTGCAGGGCTTCAAGGAGTCCAAGGTGGACGAGGGCACGCGGCAGGAGTCGCTCGACCACGTGGGTTTCCTGTTCGCCTACATTGCGGACAAGGACATCTTCCACAAGTACTACTCCAAGCTTCTCTCCAAACGCATCATCCAGCTCACCTCCGTGTCCGACGAGGCCGAGGAACGCATGCTCAAAAACATGCGAAAGGCGAGTACGAAAGCATAATATTTTCATTGTGCGGGGGGGGGGGGATCTCCTGCGTTGTCGTCCGACGTTCGTGTAGATCGAGGCCGAAGAATATCGCTCGAGGGATATGCGGAAAGCAAGGATGTTATGTGAGAGTGAGAGCGGAGGGCAGGGGAGAGTAGTAGCTCGCCTCCGTGTCCGACGAGCGAGGAACGAACTCAGGGCGAATGCCTGACGAGCGGGGCTATGCAACGACGTCAGTGCATGCATACTAAAGAAGATTGCGTAAGAGGGAATTGAAGGGAAGGACAAGCGAAAAGGGGATGATCGACGGAGGCGTGTTTCGCAGTTGCGACAAGGCATTTCTCGGCATAGATTCAAGATACTGACAGCATGGCCCTCGGCGGCAACCTCGAACCCACGACATATCGTGCGGGAGACATTAACTTGCGTCGGTGACGTTCATCGAACCAGATTTCCGGGTTCGAGTACACGTCCAAGCTGCAGAGGATGTTCGTGGACAAGACTCTCAGTCGGGACTTGCACACTGGCTACGTCGAGTGGCAGGTATCTAAAACACGTTGTCAGAGATGTTTGGTTAGCAAGGAAGCGCGGCGAAACCCTCAACAACGGCACACCTGTTTCCGTTGGAATATTGTGACGACAAATACTCAAGTGTCATCCGTTGGTCGAAAATTCTGTCGATTTTTGCTCTGGTGCTCGTTTTTTTTTTTTTTCGTGCTCTTCTTTTACAGCACAATGTTTTCCTCTTGGTGTACGTGTCTCGTGCTATGTATACAAAACACCGGCCACTCTATCACTCACTACCCCCGTCAGGTTTATTTCGCCGGACTACAGAGGCAGCGGGTATCACGTACTTTCGACGAGGGCTGCCGTTTGCAGTGCCGAAACTTTGATCAGGCAGGCGCAGACGACGCAAAAATCGTCGCCATACCGTTTGTTGTTCGTATTTACGAAGTTCTTCTCAATTTTGCGAACCAACTTCACACCGAACATAGACAGCAGCAGTAGTGGCAGCGGTGCGCTACTCAGGACCGGCGAACCGGCGGTGTTCAGCGGTAGTTGAGTTGTTTATTCCGCGCCTGGCAACATAAAGGAAAGAGAAAGGAACTCGACTGTACTAGAGACATCCCATATGCACCTGCACATCCTCCAAGGGTCGCAAAAAGTCTCCACGAGTTTCAAGTTTGGCTCCAAGTCATTGAAGATGTCTATGCTCATGTCACCCTCAACTAGGTTGCGCTGTGTTGTGGTTTCACCCGTAACAATGAACAACACAAGCTAGACCGACGTTCGTAGCTCGATTGCACCACGGCCGACAGGCTGTTACAGCCGAAAAAGAGTGGTTTTGAAAAGATCTCGTCGAGAGCTATTGTAGCTTTCCTTGCACGTGTCGGTCGGATTTCGCAACAACGCTATTGGGCAGGTTTGTAGAGCGAATCGAGCTTAAAAGTCGGTGTAGGGAATACGCCATGACTCGTACTTGAACGGTACCTTATCTAGGCCAACAGTATTGGTTTGCGGTGAGGTGTCACTTCTTTTCTATCCTAGTCCCTCACATGATACATATTTCATCATATCCTGTCCCTTTCATGATACGTAATCCATCTGGTTACCGGATGGCTCTGCGGAGGTTCGGCTCCACCTGCCGCCCGCCCGCACTCCGTCATCTCGTTTCGCCCCCCCCCCCCCCCCCCCCTCCCCTACA